AGTAACATGTCAATGGATAAGGTAGTCTAGAAGCTCTCAGATGGTGGTACTGCCTGAAGCCCTGTGGGCAGAGAAGGCACACCCATATATGGTGTTTATGTTCCTTGCGGTTGTCACTGCCCTGTCCAAGGCAGAAGATGCAATGTAAATTTAGCAGTCACCAGGTGGCTACCTGGCTTCCCTGAAGAATGCTGCTGTGTGGAGGGCTCAGCGTCAGTTTTTGTAGTCAGCCAGTTGGGTCACTCAGTGATGGCAATAGCCTTGGGCCAGATCTGGCTTAGGTTTGGAAATTAGGTGAGGGTCTACAGTTTTTCACCATGGTGACTGAAGTCAGCTTTCTGCTCACCAGTTATTCTTTCTGATTCTACAGATCAAGCAACACCCTAATTGGCGGCTCATTTGTCTCACCCTCGGTAGGGTGACCACAGGTGTCAGTTTGACTGGGATGGTCCTGGTGCATACCAATCGTCCCCATGTAATCCTTACTATCACCCCTTTTCACTCTCAATAGTAGCTCAATTTGGACAATAAATCATGTGCATATCTTTCCCTTGGGAATGCCATTATCTGTTACCATAGTAGGAGTCCTTTCAGAGGAAGTCGCCAGATGGCTCCTCCACCTTGCTGTCCATTGTGGTATGTCTACTTTGTCCTGTATGACTAAGTGGTCCTACCTAGCTCCTGCAATGGTGAGATCTTTGTCATTTTCGCTAATAGTTACACAGCACCCTCCCTCCACCATCAACCCCGGACCACGAGAAGAGCCACTATCGACTGCTCAAAAGGCCTTCTTACTAGTGCCGTCTTTATTGCCTTAGTGAAGGGAATGTCCTCTGGGCCAGCGCAGGGAACTAGCCAGGTGGTGGGGTCTTGAGCCACTCATCATACACCTCTGCTTCTCCACTTGGTTTATCATAGGCCATTGTTGAGACCAGGCTTCAGACACCCCAGCAAACTATTGGGACAAGCTCCAGGCATCTTGGCTAAAACGTTAAATCCTGAGTTCTGTATGAGTCTCCATGAATCAGTGAATTTTCCCCACTGAGCTTTCTGCTTCACTCCTGCCCCCAAATATAACATCGAGATCCGCTCCCACACGCATTTCCACACTTCCTGCCAGTACACAGTGCCAAGTCCTGCAGATATGTTTGGCAGGTAGGCTTTGGAGCAGGGCTTTTTCTTCCCAGTGTGGGCTGTGCTACAATTGACTCTGGGTATTGATGGAGGCGATAAGTGGCAGGGCCAAGTCTTGAGAAGAACAAGCCGTGGAGAAGGGAGTCTTTCTGGGCCGGAGCATCCAGAGGATTTGAAGGGTCAAGATGCTCATCCATCAGGACGGACATCCCTATCCCAGGTCTCAGGGGCCTGCTCTCCCCATCAGGGTCTGACTTTGCCATGGAAGCCTGTGAAGGCTGTGCCTTTAGTGTCCTTTGCAGTTCTACTGCCTTGTGACCAGGTCCTGGGCTTGATTTTAAATCTATCCTATGGTGGCAGGAAGTAAATCTCTCTCTTAAAGTTGCCGTGGAGGCGCTCTGGCTTCCAGAGCATTCCATGAGTTGGTAATTAGCTGCTCTGAGCCTGCCATTGTTTGTTTCCAAGGTCCCTGGTACCTTATAATTATCATTATTTCCAAACTGAGTGAGTGCCACAGCTCCTTGATCTCCTGATGTCTTGCTCTCCACCCAATCAATGCACCCCAATGAAATACAAGTGAAAGCTGTGGTTATTGTATATCAGAGTTATTACCACCTCTCTTATCACCAGCAAAGGGATCTCTATTGATTACAGACAGGTAGGCAATACAATGCCGAAATCCATCCTGAGTAGTTGCTTTCTAGAGCCACTGGTGGAACCAATTGTCTGAGCTCAGTTTCCCTAGGAAACAGAATCTGAAGCAAAGATTAAATCTGATTGAGACAGCAGCAAGAGAGTGAAAGGGGACATGGGGTAGGCCAGGGTGAGATGCAATGCAAGGTGCTGTGTTATCAGGCAGGTAAGTGCTTTACGACCAGCATCAAAGAGCCATGGCAGGTTCCTCAGTAGGTATGTCTGCTCAGACAGGCTGTGCTGGAAAACCATGACTCCAAACAGTCCATAGAACAGGGGAAGGAAAGAGAATGTATCTGCCCAGCTCCCTCCCATCTCCTGTTTCTCATTGGTCAAAACGCTCCCCATAGGGAATTAATTTCCTTCGATGCATCATCCTGCCCCTTTGATGGCTGCTTAGAAGCCACATCCTGTAGTGTGGCATTTCCTCTGAGTCCAGAAGTAGTGGAGGGGTCAGAATTCCAGACATGTGGCTGGCCAGCCTGGCTGTGCAGCAGCAGCCAAGAAGAACTTGGCTGGGCCAGTGACTAGTTAGTCCCTGGTGGCTGAGCTGCACAGATTTAATTGGCTGTGAAGGTAGCTGTGGAACCAGTAGAAAGACAAGGTCTAGCCAGTGTGAGGAGGCACATAAGATGCGTCTGATACGCTCATTAATAGGTTATTAACATCAACGAGTGCTGGAGCTAGAAAAATGATCGGAACAAAAGCTGGCACTGAAAAATAAGATGCTACTTAAACTCAGTTTTTCCTGTTCCAAACCTCCCCACTACACATCTCTGCTATACCAGTTGTTATGCCAATGAATGGAAGTGACTATGCTCTCAGAGGCTGAGCATGTAGTTACCAGGTGTCCCTGTTCAAATCACAAGTTGGCTCTGTCCCATTATGTGCACATATGGCTATGTCACTCTTACTAACTACCTGAACTTTCAAAACCCATAATCTGTCAGGCCTGGGTTCATCTGCGCATTCATTTGAGCACAAGGAAAGGAAGAACAGAGTTGGCCGGTCCATGCAACTAGCACAACTCTAAAATGCAAAAGAATTCCAGAAAGAATCCCTTCACTGGGACAGCACAGTTCACTTCAGAAGGCTTTTGGGAAAAGCAGCCAAATCTCACAGTTCTCTTCATGTCACTTGGCTCCCCACTGCACCCCACCACCAGGGAAGAGGAAAACAGAAGAGGAGAACAGACAGATGGAATATTGGACATGAACAACCACAGTTTTTCCCTGAACTGTCAGGGAGTCCTGACGTGCCTGGGGCAAGATGATGAACCGATAACCTACTCTGCTCCTTTGGATTTTGATTCCGGCAAAGCAGGATCCAGGCCTTGGTTTAACTGGGTAATAGTAGTTGTTTAGACTTGGCCTGAGTGGGGACACTGGGAATTGATACCAGGGAAGGTGACACTTGCCAGACATTCTTCGATGTTCACCAACTGGTCCGATCACTTGAGCTTTTAGAGCTCAGTTTTCTCCCGAGGGATTGTGAGGACAAATTCCCATCCTCTGCACACAGATCTTCACGCTGAAATCTTAGTCTCCTGGACTTGAAACTCCAGGCAAGTGTGGAGAAAGGGACCTATCTGAGAGATGAGTGAGGAAAGAGAGAGGAAGAATGTTCGAGATGAGAAAATGGATCGCACACTGAGGCATGTTTTCTTTTTATCAGGAAATGAAAACTGAGGCAATTACATGGTGAGAAGATAATTTTTTTTTTCAATTTCCTGATGTTTTTTAGGTGTACTTATTCCACTTGAATTATTCAGGTAATTTCCTGAATGAGCCCATTTCCTTTGTCTCTGTGGACCTAAGTTATTATTCTTATTACTGAATTTATAAGATCCTAGGCATGGGCTCTGTCTGCAGTCATGCAGGACAGGTGCAGAGTCAAGGTCCCCTCATCCAAGTCCTGGCTCTCAGCTACACTCCAGGGGCCTCGCTGCTGGTACTGGTCCCTCACCACCCCCTCCCATTGAAGGGAAGTTCCAGAAACTGATGTCATCAGTGGTCTTTGTCAATTGCATTCTTAATTCTAGCTTAACTCAGCATTGCTATCACAACTGCTTCACTCTCAAAGCTGGCGTGCTGGCTTGGAGTTTAAAGAGAAAGGATATTATGGTCAAGTCCCTAAGTGCCCATGAGGGAGGAAGTCAGAGAATCACAGAACCTTAGAGTCAGAACAGACCTCGGAGAGTGAGGGGTCTGCTCTCCTCTTTTCAGAAAGAGAAGTTAAGGCCCAGAACAGGCAAGTGGCTTGTTCCGGGTCACACGGCTTAGCCAAGTGACAAACCTGGACTTAGAGTCAGCTGTCGGGTCAGTAGTCTGGTGGTCTTCCCACCGCACTGTGCCCCTCTTTAAGGCGGAGGGGGCGGGGGTAGGGGGATGAGAGAGGGCGGGAAGGCCTTTAAGGAAAAGGTCTTTTAGCAGAGAGTGTGGAAGGGTCTCCCACTTCACCATGGCTTTGAAGCAGCTTTTCATCCCTGCCTCTAATTCTGCAGCTGTGACAGAACTGTCAGGGCTGGCTGACCTCCCAGGGTTTAGTGTTGCATATCAGTGTGGGTTTAAATGGACTTTATTAATCATGACTAGTGTCAGAAGACACATGCCTGTGCCCCCTTGTTAGTTTTGGGGAATTTGTAATGTGAACTTTTTTTTTAAAAGAAGATTTAGTTTTGTCCCTTCATGTGGGCAACCCCTGCTTGACCCATCCATCGTCCCCTGGTAGCGGCAGGTGACTGTGTCCAGCCTTCCTCAGAGAATGATATTCTAACGACAAGCTTTCCTCTACCTCAGGGTCACTTCTCTGGTGACTTTACCTCTCTTCTGCTTCCCACGGTTGCAAACCTTCACAGCACCACGACTCCTGGGAAACTCTGTCTTAAGTCCCTAGGACAAACGCTCCAGCCCCGAGGGGCTCCCAGGGCACGACAGCGATCGGATTTCGCGTGGCGGCGCAGCTCCCCCTACTCCGCTCCCCTCCCGCCCGGGAACCTGCGGAGCCAATCAGAGCATCGCGGAGCTCCGGGTTGTAGAGTCCCGAGTCCCGGACCCGCCCCTCTTTGTTGCGGTGGCCAATGGATGCGTTCGGAACATCGGCGGCTGCCCGGGTGACTCGGTTATATGTCACAGAATAACATTCGAGAATGGGACATGGAATGAGGGGACGGTCGCAGCAGCCCCAGCAGCCCCAGCCCCAGGCCCAGCAGCAGCAGCCCCCGCCTCCCCGAGAGGCGCCGCAGAAATGAGGCCGAGCGTCCCGAGGTAGGGTCCCGGAGCTGCGGCGCCCTTCCCGCGCCCCGCCTGCAGCCTGTCCCCCCGGGTGCTTGGCGCGGGAACTCGGGGGACGGGGGCGGGTGGGGCTATGTGCACGGGAGCCTCGGAGCTCCGGGAGGGCTTCCCTGAAGACACGCGGCCGCCTTTGCAAACCCAGGCTGCTTCTGCGCCCTCGCGCCGACCCCTGGCGACCAAGCACTGTGTGGAGCCTTGCGGGGACCTCCTGTTCCTTCACGCTGCACGAACTGCCTGTCTTCCCCCTACCCTGTCCACTCCGCATCCTCCACGTTCCTTTATTTCCCTCCCGGTGTTTAGGTGTGCGTGAAGCTCTGTGGCAAAGGTCCAGTCGCCTTTCGAGGTAATTGCAGGGCTGGAAGCTCGTATTCCATTCCTGGGTGAAAGCGGATGGGGGGGAGGGGGGTCTGTCAGCGCTGGGGGAGAGTGACGTGGGGACACTCCGAGGCCCTACCGCCGTTGGACGCGGTTCCTCCGGGTGTCCACTTACCGCGGTGTGTGCTGTGTCTCCACTGATTTCAGGCACGGTCCGTACGCG